TCTAGATACCTTTTGTCTGTAATCGGGCAATGCACGACTAGTTGATATCTAGATTACAGCTGGATCAAGGGCTTTTAACTAGATGCATTTGCGTGTACAGCTAGCAATAGTTACTTGATCGATTATCGAGCGATAAATCGATGGTTGCAGCCGAGAAGAAATCTAGCAATCTAGATGAATCGGACGATATTAGAGTAATTTTAACAATCACGCTGAAAGCTATAACCGCCTGAAATCAAACTTATCTCTTTATCGGCATATTTTTGAATTTAGTAAATTGTTAGTTGCTGAGGATTCGTATCGAACACCATCGAGAACAAAAAATCACAAGAAATTGAACAAGAACATCGATTCGAACTTGAGAAATACTGGCTGATCATGCATCTGGTCTAAGGATTGATGTTCAATTTGCTAAAAATGTGAAAGAACAACAAAAACGAGATCCCTGGAAAGATAATGAGACTATAATGTTTTTTCCACAATGAAAAAGTATGATAAAAAGGTATTTTGTAAATAAAGTCTCTTTTAAATTAGTACCAGCTATATTTATTTGTTAATTAGTGGTATGTTGAATAAGTGTAAAAAATGAGTAAGCGAATGGGAGTATTCCGCAAATTTTGTATCACGATAACATCGTTAGGAAAAGCTTTCGTCGCAGAGTCACTTGTACTACGGTAAGTCAACATTCCTATTATTTATATATACTCTACTGTTTTTCCAGAAAAGTTTTTCGAGGTTTCAGAAATCGGAATCGATTATATTGTATGGCACAATAGGTCTGTGCACTAGAAATTGCTTACCTTAGATTCTAGCGCTTTCCAACGCTCATCTTTACTACAACCTTTGAACATCCAACTTTCCTTTTGTTTCTTCTTAGCTTAGTTTTTCTTTGATTTATTTTTCTCATCTATATAGCGAGACACCTAAGTGTTTTGTACTGTGAATTCATGTATGTTAACTCGCAAATCGGTGTCAACGACAATCGAAGAATAAATATCAGTTTTTCTTTTACAATAGCTGTAAAAGCTCATTTATGCCCATTTTGTTTTTCTTGTTTTTCACCAACAGAAAATATTCCTTTACCTTTACGTGGTTGTAAGTGCTACAATTTCTTTTAGACTACTACAGGTGAGAATGTTTTTCTGTCATCACTGATGAATTTGTTGAAGAAATATTTATCTGATAGTGTGTTCGATGAAGCACACGAGGAGACATTAAATGTTTAGAATCAGTGGTGATTCATCCCGGAATAATAACAGGTGTTCTGTCGGTCCATACTGTGTGTAGAACGGGTCATCTACATTGTTGTACAAAGCTAGTTGTGACACTTCAAAAGCTAATTTGTGTCTTTCAATTTTCTTTCTTTTTTCTACTCATACAATGGTGGTAGCCTTATAATTATAAGTTCTTGACTTTTGCTACTTTCCCTTCAGCCATGTGTTTTATCTTAACTTTTCTTCTGGGTTTCATGTGTTTGATGAAATAAATTTCAGTTCAGTTCAGTTGTGATTTACGTTCATCATTTTACACTGTCAAAACTGAAAACGATTCACTTTATTTATGACAACACCCGTACAAGTTGATCTTATTAGCTTCGCACTTAAGTATCTTAAAAAACTGAGTTTCTTACAGAGTATCTTGAACAGAAGAAAATGTCTCATCAGACTGCGACACGAACAGATGAACTTCACGGCCAAGTTAATGAAGTTCAAAATATTATGAAGATATGTTACTATTATGTGATGAAGGCCTGCAAAGCGGTAGGTTTGACCGAACAAGCACGTACACTTACGGAAAATTATTAGAACACAAAATGTCATGGAAAAATAATAAAAAAATACGGATTATCGCTATTATCATATTATCCTCCTAATCATTTTCATCATTATTAGTATGACATTAGCATTAGTAGATAAACGCAACGTTTGCTAAAGTATTTATGCCAGCGTTACTGCTCGGTTTTCCAGAGATCCCCTGGAAAAGTCAGTTTTCAACAAAAATCGAGTAATACCCATGCAGATGGAAAAACTCCGAGGGGTGCGGCGATTACTCGAAAATGTGCCCTCGTCGAGGCCTCGATCACTCGAAAAATGAGATTTCGGACTCTGGATATAAGCTTTCGAGGGGTTATCGATTTCGAGCTCTCGGATTTCAGATAGGTAGAGAGTCCTCGAGAAAAATTCCAAGCCGTCGAACAGAGATATTTGGGACTTCCGAGCCCTCGCCCGTCCGAGGATGCCGCTAGGACTCGGAAGTCCAGAACCTCTCTGTCTGATGGTCGGAATTTTTCTCGATTGCTCTATACCTATCTGAAATCCGAGGACTCCTAATCGATAACCCCTCGAAAGCTTATATCGAAGGTCCGAAGTCTCATTTATCGAGGGATCGAGCCTTCGGCAAGGGGCCCATCGAAAGCATATTTTCGTACTCTCGAAATATTCCTCGAGCAAGTGGCTGGGTAACGCTGGAAATCCCAGCATAAATAAATTGATTTTTTCCATGGGTAAATAGTCCACGGTGTTTCCTACAGAATGGATATCGTGTGAGATCTTGCTTTTCAGTGGTCCAGATGTGATATCGGGTTTCTGTTGAGCCCTAGGATTGGTACTTGGCGGCTTGCGGTGTTATTAAAATTGCATGAAATGTACGTAGTCAACCATGCTGAATCTAATGTCAATGCTCGTTTTGGGAAAAGAATTCCAAAACATAGATTTATGCTGGAATTTCAGCGCTATTGCTGGGTTTTCCAGAGATTCCCTGAATAACTCAGTGTTCAACAAATTTGAAAAGGTCACATGTTACTTAAACATGCGGTGATGTCTTGGCTATCGAATAACGACAACCGCAACTCTCCAGCTATTGTCGATCGAAAGTTAATTAAAAAATGGCTTTTGACACAGTTATAAATCGCTTAGAAATCCAATATATCTAAAATGGATTAAAATAACTGCTAATTTGTAACTTTTGGAGAAATCAAGTATAGGGTTTTGCAGTGCTTGAAAATTTCTATCAAATAATATACACTTTCATGATCTCCAGGAAATTGGTAACGTAGAAATAAAAGTGTAAGGCACCAGAGAACGGTAATTAGCATTAATTAGCACTTATTAATTGTAATCTAATACCTTAAAGAGATACTTTTCAAATTTTTTTTATGAAACTATAACCACAGATCAGTGGCTTCCAAAATAAGCAAGAATGACGCTTAGACGGTTATGTTTGATCGTACTGCAAGCTAATCTGAAGATAAGAAAACTAAGAAAATCTTTTATATAGCGTACTCGCTAAAAAAAAGGGTACTCTACCGAACCGGAAAAAGGTTTAAACTTTTGTCGCCATCTATATACCTTTTTAAGGTTTCGTACAAACTATATACCGTTTTACTTAGCTAAATCCGTGACTGTGAAACGCTTGTGAACACTGAGAAAGCACTTTTTTTGTGTTTTTACAGAAATTTTTTCCAGTGACCTATTTAGGATGTCTCCAACTCGTTCTCAGGTTTCCTCAATGAATGGTGAATTTTTTAATATTGGCTGAAAAGAGCCGGGAAATCCTAATCTTCGTAAAACTTTGTTTTCACTGGCTTTTTAAATCGTTTACTAAAAGCAAAAATGTATGATTGCGGAATCATGTCGTCAAGTCTCCTCTTTCTAGTGCCGAAAACCGAAGCTCTCTAGCGGCTTGCTATCAAAAATTATTCAAAAAATAACTATCATTTCATTTTTTTTCGACGCACAGTTATTTACTACTTATTTTCTACATCTGACTATTGATGTTCTACCTATTTATAAGCATCTTTCTTAATATGATGTCGTAACATGACTATATACAAGTGAAAATCACGTTTATTTTGGAGCAAGAGAAAAACAGTAATGTAATGAGGCAGCTAACACTTTTCGCTCAGGACATCGTCCTAAGCGCAAAATCTCATCACAGTAATAGACGGTTTATTTTGGAGTTGAAGTACAATGTAAGACATTCTATCTTCTATTCTGTTCTATATAACCTATTCAAACTTTCTGTTTCTCTATGAGAGTAGTATATTCTTTATGCTCATTGAAAGTTAAGTATGTTACTAAAAGAACGATATTTGTATGTTGTGGCTAACTCTTTTGTGTGTATATATTGCAGTAGGAATTAAAATTTAGTGGAATTTAAAATTCCGCTCGTGAAGGTTCAAATTTTGTATTCTACTAGTGGAAAGTAAAATGCACACGTCCGCACATCGTCTAAACTACATATTCTAGGTAAAGTAGGCTGTAAGGTTCAAGATTGAGCTTATGGACATCCAGAACTGAGTGAGAAGACCTGAGTGCATTGCAAGATATGAAAGTGAGTGAAAAACTAATATCTAGGTGATATAATCTGACACTTTCATAAAAAGCTGTACGTAAAACTTACGAAACTTGTCGTTAGAACAGAGAATACTGCACAGTGATATACTGCAAGAAATAGATGAGTACAGAAGTACTCAATGGTGATAAATCTAAAACGTCCCACCTCTAAAGTTATTAACACTCTACTTCTATATTCTCCAAACGTCCCATTTTCGTAATTTAACAGAAACAATGCCCATTTATCTCCCAAAAAACACCTTCCAACGTCAACCTCAACTCTCCCACTCAATTTCTCAAATTCTTTTCCTGATATGGTGGCAATAATTTCTCAAAATGTACCATCTCATTTTTTACTTGAGGCCTCAAACGTACTATAGCACAGACGTTCCTGAGTATGTTATACTCTTATGTATTATTCTTTTGTATGCTTGTTCCTTCCGCGGACCGTCCCTTCATTTCTCGAATGAAAAGTACTCTGTCGGTTGGAAAATACCGCATTGCATCAGCATCTGAAATCACTGTTGCGTATCATTCTTTTTGCGTTTTATGACGTGACACACTTTTCTTAATGTTCTGATAAATACATAGTACACAATACAACAGCAACAGAATTATATAATCGCATTAAGTAAAACTGGTTCATTCTGATTTAATTCATTAAATATGCTAAGACAACTACATAAAACTTTTCAACACAAAGCTCGTTTAACTCGTTTACATGCTTATTATTGTAATGATAAATGCTCTTACGATCGAACAATAAAATATATTGAGAAATATATTGAGTTACTATCGACGAAGGATACCGCAACAACAGCAGCAACAGTTGCAGATTTACATAAAAAAATTGGTTTAATTTATTTTAATGAAACAGAAAATTATCATTTAGCATTAAAACATTTTCATAAATCATTAGAATTACATCAATTAAATGATATAACTTATAATGGAGAAAAATCGGCAAGTCTAAATCAGTTAATTGGTGCATGTTATGGTCGTTTATGTGACTATAAAACATCATTGATGTATTATAACCAAGCACTTCTTTTATATGAACAATATTCACCTACAATATTTGATCGTCATTCAATGTTCAAATGCTTAGCTATCTTGTATCATGAGAATGAACAATTTGAAACATCAATTGAATATCATCTAAAATATTTTCAATTATTTGACGGTCAACAATCACTACCACAAGATTTTATCCATCATTATCGATCAATCGGTGATTGTTATGCTAATATAACAGATTATACAAAAGCTCTAGAATATTATAGAAAAGTTTTAGACATGAAACAAAATGATACTGAAACACTGCATAACATCGGTTTAACATATTGTAAGCAATTGGAATATCAACTAGCCATAAACTATTTCCAAATGGCACTAGAAACAACCCAAGATTCACCCAGTATAGCTGTTATGTACGGCAATTTAGGTGCCTGTTATGAAGAAATAAAACTATTTGATTTAGCGATTGATTATCTCATGAAATCAATTCATTTCAATCAAAAAGAAAAGAATAAAGAAAAAAAGATTGGAATTCTCTACAAGTCTATTGGTCACTGTTACGATGGAAAGAATATGTATCAGGAAGCTATTGCCACTTATTTGAAATGTTTAGAATATCCATATGAAAAAACATCATTGATATTTGATCAAATTGCATGTTCATATTGGAACAACAACGATTATGATCAGGCTTGTGCATACTGGTTAAAAACATTAAAAATTACAGAAGAAGAAGAAGAAGAGGAACAACAACAAAATAAAGGTATTGTTTCATTACTCTCTTTTTGAATGAAAACTAGTTCATTAATACACTCTGAAAAAAGGCGTTTTGGTTTGAGGCATGTGAACTGCACTCCGCAAAGGTATTATCTCATCTCACGTCGAAGATAGTTCAAAGCGTCTTATTTTGCACTACTTGAAAGTATGCTGAAGGAGTCTGACGTAAACATCTTATTTTTCACGCCTTCAGGAAACACCATTTATCCTCCGTCGAGCTTAGGCTGTCTAGTCTTATTATTCCACCACTAAACTACACAAACCTGCTTACCGAAGATTACTCTTGCTCACAATGTTTACTAACCGCCCCCCCCCCCCCCCCGGCCCCACAAATAAAAGCCAACGGAGCTTTTGATGAGGGAGAAAGAAAAATAGAAATCGTACGGATTTA